CTCACGGTCTCTCCTGCCCAGGCTGGCTTTGAACCACGATCCTCAGATCTCAGCCTCCTGAGTAGCTAGGATTACAGGCGTGAGCCACCAGCGCCCGGCTCCTTCCTACTTTTCTAAGACTTCTCTCATCTCCACAGTGTAATTCGCTCTGCTCCCTTTTCTTTTTCTCTAGTTCAGGGGTTAACCCACTGTGGCACCTGTACCAAATTTCAGCTGCTGTCTCCTTTTATATAAGTGATACTCACTTGTGTGTGTCGTGTCTATGGCTGCTCTTCTAGATATGTTCTCTAGCTCTGCCACAGTACTTACTTTCTGGTCCCTGAGGAAGTATGTTGACCTTGCTTTAGCTTTTTACCTCTGGTCTCCATCCTCTTGTTCCTGGGGTTCTCACACCCTAGACCTTTCCTCCCTGTAGGTCTACCCACCCCTGATCCTTCTCCTTTCCCTCAGCATCTACATGGGCGACAGCTCCGTCACCCCCTGACAGGGCAGCTTCTCCCCCTCATCACAGACCCTGCTGTTCAGCCGCAGGTGGGCACAGGTGAGTGGAGGTCAGGGAGGGAAAGTGGAGGAGAGAAATGAGGGAGGGCTGTGGGAATGAAAGAGAGGCACAGACAGAAGGTGGGGAGGGATGGGGCAATGTAGGTGACAGTGTGACTAGAAAAGCCCATAGCCCAGGTCAGGGTCAGTACCTGCTGCAGTTGTGCTTCCGCAGGAGCAGTGAAAATCACTCCAGCTCACAGTCCTGCTGACGCTGAGATGGGGGCCCGGCATGGCTTGAGCCCCCTGACCGTCATTGCGGAGGATGGGACCATGACCTCACTCTGTGGGGACTGGCTGCAGGTGGGGTCAGCCTCAGTTTTACCCCATCCTCTGGGAGGGTTCCCTCTGCCCATCTCCCCTTCTCCCTCCCCTTTTCCTTCTCAAAAGGCCTTTGATCTTTCCTATCACCACTATTTTCCCAGGGTCTTCACCGGTTTGTGGCCCGGGAGAAGATTATGTGTGCACTGAGGGAGCGGGGCCAGTTCCGGGGCCTCCAGGACCACCCCATGGTACTGCCCATATGCAGGTAGCCCCACTTTAACACCTTCGCTGGGGCTGGGAAGGTGGCTCAGTGGTAGAGCGCTTGCCTTGTATACATGAGGCCCTGGGTTCAATTCCCCAGCACCACATAAGCAAAAAGAATAAAAGCCGGAAGTGGCGCTGTGGCTCAAGTGGTAGAGCGCTAGCCTTGAGCTGAAGGGCTGAGGGACAGCGCCCATGCCCAGAGTTCAGGTCCCATGACCATACCCCCCCAAAACAAACAAACAAACAAACAAAACACCTTTGCTGAGGGCCACCCAAAAGGGAACGGGTGAAGCTTAAGAGTGCTGACAGATGGGCTCTGAACCCTCTGCATTAGAAAATAGGTGTTGTGTCAGTCCTGTTCATAGGCCCAGCCTATGGAGTAGGCTCCTGTGCACAGGGCCAGAGAGCACTGACCTCCTTCTCTCTCTTTTTCAGCCGTTCTGGGGATGTGGTGGAATACCTACTGAAGAGTCAGTGGTTTGTTCGCTGCCAGGAAATGGGGGACCGAGCTGCCCAGGTGAGGCTTCAGTTCAAGGAAGGCTGGGCCTAGGGGCTAGAGGAACCCCTGAGAACTGAGATGAAGCAGCAAGGGATGTCCTGACCTGAATGCTCTCTAGTCATGGTAATTGAAGAGGCAAAGTGACTCCCAGAGGGTTGTCTCCTTCAGGATCCTTGGGGGAGGCTTGGGAGGCCCTTCCAGAGTTACAAAATTACCTCAGAAGCCATTTGTTCTATCCCAGAAGTCAGGTCTGGTGGGTAGGAAGAAAAGGATTGTTTCTTTTTTTTTTTTTTTCTTTCTCCTTTGGTGCTGCTGGTCCTGGGGCTTGAACTCAAAGCCTGAGTGCTGTCCCTGAGATTCTTTGGCTCAAGACTAGTGCTCTACCACTTGAGCCACAATGCCACTCTTCCAGCTTTTTCTTACTAGTTTATTGGAGATAAGAGTGTCGTGGACTTTGCTGCCTGGGCTGGTTTTGAACCAGTATCCTCAGATCTCAGTCTCCTGAGATCAGAGTTGGAACTCAGCGCTATATGACTGCTTAGCTTGCTTGCTTTGCTGACACTCTACCCCTTGGGCAGCCATGACTTGAGCCCAGGTTTGTTTGTTTGTTCTTCTGGTTATTTTAGAGATGGAATCTCACAGACTATTCTGCCCAGATTGGCTTTGAAGCACAATTCAGATCTCAGCCTCCTGAGTAGCTGGTGTCTGGCAGGAAAGCATTTTTTGTTTGTTTTGTTTTTGCCAGCCCTAGGACTTGAACTCAGGGCCTGGGCACTGTCCTTGGGCCTCTTTGTGCTCAAGGCTAGTGCTCTTACCACTTGAGCCCCAGAGTCTGGCATTTTCTGAGTAGTTTATTGGAAATAAGACTCTTATGGCCTTTCCTGCCTAAGCTGGCTTCAAACCATGATCCTCAGATCTCAGCCTCCTAAGTAGAATTACAGGTGTGAGCCAACAGTGCCCAGCAGGAAAGCATTTCTTAAATGCCTCTTTCCCTCCAGGCTGTGGAGTCAGGGGCCTTGGAGCTCTGTCCATCCTTCCACCAGAAGAGCTGGCAGCACTGGTTCGCTCACATTGGGTAAGGGTGAGAAGAGCATTTGTGTGTGGGGGGGGGAGGGCACGCTACTGGTCATGTTGAGGGGTCACTGACTCTTCTCTCCACAGGGACTGGTGTGTCTCCCGGCAGCTGTGGTGGGGCCATCGGATTCCAGCCTACCTTGTCACTGAGGGGCATGGGAAGGTTGGTAGAGGAGGCTGGGTAGGGTGGGGAGAGCCCTACCCAGGAGTCAGAGGACTGCCAGTTCCAGAGCCAGCTCCTGCCTGCTAATGCACTTTGTGGTCTTGGTCATGAGACCGACTGTGTGACAGGGGCTCAGCACAGAGAGGCTGGCCTTTCTAAGACATCGGGAGAAAACAGGAAGATTTAAGTTTTATACCTGACCCTTGTCATTTTCCTCCCTTGTCCCACCTCTTTAGCAGGATGACAAGGACTGCTGGGTGGTGGGGCGGTCTGAGGCAGAGGCCAGACAGGCAGCAGCAGAACTGACTGGGAGACCAGGAACAGAGCTGACCCTGGAGAGGGGTGAGTACAGAGCTAAGGAGGGGCTGAGAGGAGGAAAGGAGTGAACAGGGGTGGGTAATGGGCCCTTGAAGGGAGTAGGTGGGGTCAGGCAAGCAGGGAGTGGGGCAGGAGGTGAGCCACCTGGGCTCTGGGGGTGACGATTGTACTGAAGGACGGGCAGCAGGAATCTAAGGTGCTAGACACCAAGGTTTCAACCTGTCCCCAATCCCTATTCTGTTCCCAGACCCCGATGTCCTGGACACTTGGTTCTCTTCTGCTCTCTTTCCCTTTTCTGCCCTGGGCTGGCCCCAAAAGGTGAGTTGATAGTGGGAGGGTGAAGATGGGTCTGGTGTAGAAGTTGGAGAGCTGGGCATCCATGGAGTCCAGCCTAATAGGCGTGGGGCGGGCAGCTTGGACTTGGTTAGTTAGCACTTACCTCTTCCTCCTAGACTCCAGACCTTGCGCATTTCTACCCCCTGTCACTTTTGGAAACGGGCAGTGACCTTCTGCTGTTCTGGGTGGGCCGAATGGTCATGCTGGGGACCCAGCTCACGGGGCAGCTCCCCTTTAGCAAGGTAACAGCAGTTAGTGCCCTGCCTCTCTGGCTCCCGTTTTCCCCTAACTTGTCTTCCCTTCCCTGACTGCTCATATGTTTTCTGTGTTCTTAATTTCTGGATTCACTTTTCTGATCCCTAGAGTCCAGAAACTATAGGTCTTAACCCCATTCCCACCCCATTGACCCCTTCTGCGCCCTCAGGTGCTTCTTCATTCCATGGTTCGGGACAGGCAGGGCCGGAAGATGAGCAAGTCCTTGGGGAATGTGCTGGATCCACGGGACATCATCAGTGGTGTGGAGCTGCAGGTGAGGAGAGCCTGGCCGGAGAGATAGGAGTCTAAGGAGAGGACAGGTGAGGGACAGCGGGTATAGTGGCAGGCTTGAGACCTAGGCCAACGATTTCCTTACCTATCCCCAGGTGTTGCAGGCCAAGCTAAGAGATGGGAACCTGGACCCCGCAGAGCTGGCCTTTGCAGCTGCAGCACAGGTAAGATGCTTTCTCTGCCCGGTGCAGGCCTCTAGTCTGGCCACTGGCTTCTACCACACTTCTAGCTCTGCCCTGCATCTTGGCTGGTATCTGCCAAGCTCTTCTTCCTCTGGTTACAGAAAAAGGACTTTCCTCATGGGATACCTGAATGTGGGACAGATGCCCTGAGATTCGCACTGTGCTCTCATGGAGTCCTGGGTAAGCTGGGAGGTGAAGTGATGGCGAGCCGAGCAAGGCAGCAGCCTAGACAACTTCCTGGGATGCTGCATCCATCCCACATGCACACTCCATCCAGGTTGTCTGCCCTCCAGGGGGCGACCTGCACCTGTCTGTCTCTGAGGTCCTGAGCTGCCGCCATTTCTGCAACAAGATCTGGAATGCCCTGCGTTTTATTCTCAATGCCCTAGGGGAGAATTTTGTACCCCAGCCTTCAGAGGAGGTGAGAAAGGAAGTAGTTATGTTTGATGTGGGAGGTCTAGGGGCTGAAGGAAAAGAGGGAAGAAGTTGGGGATCCACCGCTCTAGGTCCTGATACCAGTCCCCTCCCCCAGCTGTCTCCCACCTCCCCCATGGACGCCTGGATCCTGAGCCGCCTGGCCCTTGCTGCCCGCGAGTGTGAGCGTGGCTTCCTTACCCAGGAGCTCTCCCTGGTCACCCATACCCTGCATCACTTCTGGCTCCACAACCTCTGTGATGTCTACCTGGTAAGCAGCAGCCCTTCCTCCTGTGGCCTGCCTCTAGTTCCTCCTGAATTCTGGTGATAGCTGAAAGCAATGGATTTCATGATACCTAATTGGCTTCTCAGTGAGAAAGGAAAGGAAAGGCAGTCCCAGTTTCCCTCCCCTGGACTGGTCTCTGCAGCACAGCCTGAGTACTGTTACCTGCTTCTCACCTGGGAGAGACTAGGAAGTCTTCTATAAAATACTTGCCAGGCAGGGTTGCAAAGAAGAAAGAACATTTGCAGTCTCCATAAGTACTCTGTCAAGATCACGTCCAGCCAGGTACTACAAGGTGCTTGGAAGGAGAGCATGGTGGTTTTCAAACCAGGGTCTACCCGAAGGGCTTCATGTCAGAGTCATTTGTGGCCTGTTGACCACAGATTACCTGGCCACCCCAGAGCAGATCCTTGACCACAGATTGTCTGGCCACCCCAGAGCAGATCCTTTTGCAGGTCGGGCTGGGTGTTGAGAATGTGTGTTCTCTTCCCAAGTGGTGCTGATGGCTCTAGCCATCAACCACACCCTTGTCCATTGTTTCTTTATTAAATGCCTTGTTCCCTTCTCATAAGCAAATATGTGGCTTTCCCCACACATTTCACATCTTCCTAGGAAATCTTATTTTCACCTCCCTCTGAGAATCTCTGCCTGGATTTCCTCTCTTCATGTGCACTGGCATGTGGGTGGTGTCAGGCATGCCTAGGCCTCTCTTAAGAACTGCCCGGCTTGCCTACAGCAGTCTTCACAGGTGCAGTAGCCACTGTGGAGGAAGGATGTTGCTGTGGACTCCCCTCTGACCCCTGGGCTTCCTTTCTAGGAAGCTGTGAAGCCAGTGCTGTTGTGCAAGCCCCGTCCCCCTGAGCCACTTCAGGTCCTATTCTCCTGCGCAGATGTTGGTCTCCGCCTCCTGGCCCCACTGATGCCCTTCCTGGCTGAAGAGCTCTGGCAGAGGCTGCCCCAAAGGCCAGGTGGCTTCTCTGCTCCCAGCATCTGTGTTGCACCCTACCCTAGTGCCCACAGCTTGGTGAGTCACATAGATCTAGTTCATTGGCATGTAGCTCCAGCAAAAGTGGGGGCAGCCTCTGGCAAGGTTTGCTGCTATGGACATTACTATAGCAGTTCACACTTTGCTGTGGAGCCTTGGAGAGGATGGATTGCCCTGCAGTGTGTCTGGGGGCAGTGTTAGCCTAGTGGTCGAAATCAGGACTCTTACCAGATTGGTATTTTCTGTGTGACTACCTTGGTTCCTCCCACCTTTGTACTGTCCAGGCATACTTGTGGTCAATTAAACAAGAGAGTATCAGAGTGTCCTTTAAATCTCAGGGAAAGTTTAATAACTTAAGAAAGGTAAATGTCAAAAACTCTTTCTTGGTTTTGTGACATTTGGATGTTATTTAAGATTCTAATCTGATTGTGTGTTGTCCTTTCCTTAGTGGAACATTTTGTGTGCTTTTGAAGATAGATCTGTTACCCTAGGGAGATGAGGGTGGACGAGTGGAGGGCAGAGCCAAGGGAGTTGATGCTGAGGCCTTGCAAACTCTGGGTTCCCTTTGCCAGGAGCACTGGCGCCATCCTGAGTTGGAGCAGCGCTTCTCCCAGGTCCAGGAAGCCGTGCAGATGCTTCGAGCTCTTCGAGCCACCTACCAACTCACCAAAGCCCGGCCCCAAGGTGAGATCCTAGGCATTTGGCTGCAGGAAGAAGGGGCTGCTGGAGAAGGGAGCAACATAGAGAGCAGAGCTCGGGTCTGGAGGTTCAGGATGGGAAAGGAGGCAGGAGCTGATACCTGGGGCTTGACCTTCCCTCTCTCACTCCCTCCCCAGTACTGCTGCAGACCTTGGAGCCAGGGGAGCAGGGCCTCTTCCAGGCCTTCCTGGAGCCCCTGGGCACCCTGAGCCACTGTGGAGCTGTGAGCTTCCTGCCCCCAGGTGCAGCAGCTCCCTCAGGCTGGGCCCAGGCCACCCTCAGTGACACTGTTGAGGTCTACATGGAGTTGCAGGTGATCAAAGGGGACTGGAGGGATGGGGAAGAATGCTGGGTACAGTGGAAGGGCTGGGAAAGGGGCCTCATAGTGGAGAAGGTAGAGGCCTGAGCAGGCTGCAGGCGAGTCAACCTTCTTTTCCCAGGGCCTGGTAGACCCCCAGACTCAGCTACCTCGGCTAGCCACCCGAAGACTCAAGTTGCAGAAGCAGCTTGATGGCCTCATGGCTTGGACCCCATCAGAAGGGGAGGCAGAGACACAGAAGCAGCAAAGGGTAAGGCTTGGAGGCCTCTTAGGAAACCTGCACCCCTGAGGAAGCATGTGCTGGTGGGGTGAGCTCAGACCCTGGTCCTCACTGCTCTCTCTCCTTACCCAGCTTTCCGCTCTCCAGCTGGAATTGTCAAAACTGGACCAGGCGGCCTCTCACCTCCAGCAGCTGATGGATGAGGCTCCCAGCCCCAGAGAGCTTTGAACTCTAACTCATATCCCTGTTCATTGGCCTCCCTTGCAGACCCATTGAGGTCAGCACATCTGTCAGGTGTCAGGTGTGGTGGGGTGTCAGAGATTCCACGGTCCACCTTCATTTTATAAATGAGGACGCCACCTACCTGGCCAGAGACAGTGCGGTTACTGTCTGGCTCTCCTGTACAGCCCAGCCGCCAGTTTAGGAACGAGGAGATTCAGATAAACTCATAAAATCTCACCTGTGTCTGCTAATGGGCTTTTTGTCTTTTTCCCTTTTGGTAACATTCTTACCTCTCCATCGTTCCTTACAGGCCTGGTCTGGGAAGAGAGGAAGACTTCCTCTTAGGTCCTGACCCTGGGCTGCATGGAAGTGTGGGTGCTGGGTAGAGGTGACCTCTCTGGAGGAGGAGGAACCTTCTAGTATTAGGGTGAGGCATGGACACGATGACCTCAGTTCCAGTGCCCTGGCTGGTATAGGCCCTTCATGTTCCACTTCTCAGCAGATGGAAGCTTCCCTGCACCTTACTTATCCCCAGAGGTGCTGAGAAAAGCTGGCCTTCCTCCAGGCCTGAGGGGCTGCAGGGTGTGCTGGGGCCTGTGTGCCTCCTGTCCTCTGAGCACCACCAGAGACACACTCAGACACACTTACATGTGCACGGATGCACCAGTAGCCACCCTGCCCACTCAACACCTTGATTTGTCTCAGTAGAATTCAGAGGCTTTGTCCTTCCATGCCTACATTGCGGTCTGTCCAGCACCTCTGAGTAGCTATTTATGGCAAGCCTGCCTTGGATCCTTAGTCCTCTATAGTACTGGATATCCAATGTCATGTAATCGTGCCAAGAGCCTTCTAAGGTGAGAGGAAATGTGCTCAGACTAGAAGTGACCTGTCCAAGGTATCACAAGGATTTAACCCAATTCTTGAGCCTAATAACTTGGTTGCATGTCCTTTGTTCAAGTGTAATGATGACTTAGACAAGATGAATGTTTTTCATGCTGGGCATAAGCAGTGCAGAGCTCTGCAATGATGGGGCCCCACACCACTTCTCACTGCTGAACCACTCTCCCTGGCCTGCCCCTGCTTCCACCCTGCCAGCCTGTGTGGCCTCTGGGCCTGGGGACCATGTTCTATGGGTATTCTGTCCACATCCCTGCCTTAGCTTAAGCTAAAGGGGCTGAAATTAAAATCTTGCTTAAACATACACCTAGCTGGTGTCTAATCTCTCCACTGCCATTGAAAGTCGAATGAGTCACGTTAAGTTTCAATTTCCTTACTTGTAAAATAAAGTAATGATACCTAACATGGGACATTTAAGGTTGCCACATGGAATGTTCTAAGTAATAGGCTTAAAACAAAGTAGGGATTCCTAACTTAATTTTCCTGTATTCCTGAGTGTCCCGAAGCCCAAAAGTTGTGTGTATGTGTGCAGTTACTTAATTTCCCAGATTCCTTTTAGGCCTTTGTGGTGTTGAGAAAGACCATAAACCCCACACTCAGCAGCTGGGAGTCAGACTTGAGTATCCTGCTCCCCTTGCCCACCCAGTACATGGACCCACTGAGGCGCTTATTCACTGTATTTATTGGCATGCAGCAAACGAGGGACTACTGGAAGACAGGCGGGTTCAAGGCATGGTCCCAGCACCTGAGGCTAAATGCCCTGGCTAACACGGGCTTCAGTTGTTCTCAGTCTTTGCAGGTAAAGTGGTGCGGGGGTCCTTTATGATGGAGGGTGACATTGGTCCCTGATGGGAGGTGGAGGAGGAGGCAGAGCTGAGGAACAGAAAGGACCAGAGTGAGGGGTAAGATGGCTCCTCCACCCCCTGCTTGTGACAGCCAGCTCCCAGCAGAGCCCAGATTGATTCCCAGAAACAAACAGCGCCCCCACCCCTGCCCCCAGTCTCTCCCAAACAGCCCCTTACTACCTTTCCAGGCAATTCCAGGAAGCTGGAGTCATGGGAGACATTGGCCAGAAAAGTCTTCAGCTTCACTTGCAAAGTCGCCGTTGGCCCTGAGAACCCAAAATTGCAACTTAGGACCCTGCAGTCAGGGCTCTGTTCCTTCAGGGTGCAGGTACCTCCTGACCCACACCTTGCATGATTCCTCCTTCAGGATGCCCCCCCCCCCCACTGTCGCTCTGATGCAGGGATTTGCCTGGATCCTAGGAAGCTCTGCCATCTTTCAGTGGCCAAGGAGTCCCTCCTCTTTCTCCATGTTCAAGACACTCAGATGGCCATCTTCCAGCCCCTACCTGTTGCATGGGAGCTGGTGAGGAGGGATAGGAGGAGGAAGAGGGGCAGTATGAGCCTCATTGTGGCCACCTCACTTCTCATCTGATGTCCCTGTGGTCTCTCAGTCCTTAACGGCAATGTGGGGGGAATAGGAGGAGGATCTGGGAACTGGATTTTCCAGTTCACCCTGTATGGCTTTCAGGACCCTGGAGTGGGCTCTTCATGGGGCTCTTGAGGAAAGGAGAGGGTAAGTCCCTTCTCTGGGTTTGTCCCTTGTTTTCATCCCTGTTAGCAAGTCTGTGGGGGAGGAAGGGAGCTGCTGGTCCTTTGAAGAGGAAAGCAGGGGTCAGGGAGGTGGCTCACCAGCAGGTGTCTGAGCCCCACCCAAGCCTGGGCTTCTTGGTGCTCTTTAGTGATTAATTATTAACTTCTATTAATAGTCATCATTACTGCCACTCAGGGACTCAGGAATGTAGGCCCAACAGGGAGGGGTAATTAAGTCAAGTTCCTTTGCCAGCTAAGGTGTCCTCTGTTTTAGCCTCTGGCTTTCCAAATGAGAAATCTAGAAAATGGGGACTTCCATCTTTGAACAGTTTAAATCTCCAACACATCTTAGATACTCAGGTGGAAATTGGAGTTTCTACCAATTATCCACCCTACCTTTGCCCACCCAGGCAAAGGAAATATATGTAGCTATTCCAAACCAAGGGCAAGCACTAGGACCCATGTGTAGAGGGAGTTTGGGTCCCAACTAGTTTACAACCCTTCTTCAAAATACAGGAAACTGGGCTGGGAC